CATCGGGGCCTGATGTGATTTTATTAAGGGCTGATTTCATCAGCGAAGGGGAAAAAAAAAAAAAAAGGAAGAAAACCTGCTGGCCAGTTGGATCAGCTCCCTGTAAACCCCTGCAAGGCGATGGAGCGGCACAGGGGGGACAGGCAACTTGGAAAGTGGCAGCCGCGCATTCAAGGTGGCGATGGCCTTCGGTCCCCTCCACGCTGACCCCCAGGAGCGAGCGGAGATGCTTGATGGGGCTTTGAAAACTCGCTGGTTGCCTGCAGATCCCTGGTGGAGAAAGCAGGAGAAATGATGGGGCAGGCAGAGAAAAGCAAAATCCCTAATTCCTCTTTTTCCCAGGGAAATAACCCTGCCCTGGGGCAAACCCTGATGGAGCCACAGGGAGAGGCATCACCTCAGAGGGGTATCCCATCAGAGGCATGCCAGGGTCTGTCCTCAGCAGAGACGAAGGGCTGACATCGTGGCACCCCCAGGCTGCATGGCTCCTGGCAAACGTGGCCTCTGATGGCACAGGGGTCAACGATGCCAGCAAACAGGCCACGTGCTGGGCAGAGAACGGTTATTTCAGTGCATGTGCGACCGAGCTTTCGGCTTTGCTTAATCGCCATCCACCTTGTGGAGGAGGACGGGGGGGATTGAAATACATTTTCAAGCAAAAAAATCCCATGAGCCCTGACACACACAGGGGCTTTATTGCAAAAGCAAGTTGGGTTTTTTTCCCCTTTCTTCCTTTTTTCCCCCCACCTCCTGCCTGTTCTTTCAGCTGCTCATAGTTTTTCCGGGACAAATTTAGGCCTGGGCTGCGTCCCGCTCATGTTTGGAAAGTCTGAGCAGCTTTGGCTGCGCTGCTGGGAGCAAGGAGAAAGGGCAGACGGCCCACAGCAGTTTTAAACTTCAAAAAAAAAAAAAAAAAGAGCCAAATGCCAAAGAAAACCCCAGATCTTGCTGAGATTTCAGAGATCGAGGGGGGGGCGGGAAGGCAGTGGGGGATCCCTTGGGTTTGCCCCAGCAAACTGTTTAAATCGAGCCGAGCTCCTCCAGGAGAAGTCTGCAACTCACCTCGTCTCATTCCTCCGCCGCCGGAGAAGGGGCCGCTGCTTTTCCCTCTGCCACGAGCCCCTTCTGCGCAGCATTGCGGTGAGGGGGCTGTGTGAGCCAGGAGAGCACGAACACGCGTCTGCTGCTGTCCTGCGGATGGGAAAAAAACATCGCGCCTGAAACGAGCTCGTTAGGAGCCCGTTCGGTAAATGCAGAGCCTGGGTGTTTTCTATAGGTGACACCACGGCGATACTGTTTCGGCTCAGCTTTGCCAGGAGGCAGCCTGAGAAGGAGCTGCACATGTTTTGGAGGAACGCCGTCGGTCCTCCGGGCTGTTGTGAAGGTGAAGAGGTGGCTGGGGCACGGTCCGTAATTACCTATGCAAGGAGCAGCCGGCGAACGCTGAAGGGCTTTTTAATTAGCAGCCAAAGGCAAAGCGGGATTCAACAGCAGGGAAGCTGAAGTCAGCAAAGTCAAGGTGGAAATAAGAGGCCAGCTTTTACCAGTGAGGGTAATTAAGTGCCGGCAGAGCGCAGCACGAGGCGTGAGGAATTGCCGTCATTCAAGGACCTTAAATCAAGGAGAGGAGTTTCTCCTGCAGACACTTGCTCTCCCTCCGTCCCCACTCCAGCACCGCTCGCCGCCCGGCCTCGGGCAGGAGGGAGCAGCCGCCCTCAGGTCGCGTGAGCCTGTGATGAGCTAGGTACCGGCATCTCGGTGCAGGAGCATCCCTGCTCGTTTCTATCGAGGCAGGCAGGGAATTTAGGGGTGAAAATGGCTGTTTTCCCACCTGACCTGAAAGCAGTTTGGCTGCCCTCCTCCTGGTGCGCACGGTTATCTTGTGCAAACATCCCTTTTGGCACGGCAGGTTTATCTCGCTGGGATTTAGCAGGATTTTTCGCCTGCACGGGTCTGGCTCCTCAGGACACAGAGCACCCGGCGCTCCCGCCCTGCAGGAGGAAAGCTGGGATCATTTGCTCAGTTTTGGGAGAAAGCCGTGCCGGAGCAGGGCTCCTCGGCTATAACATCTCCTGAGCTCCCAACTGTTTCGCCAGCGACTGAGAGGTTGGGATTTAAGCCAAACCCGCCCTCCTGCTACACATTAATTGCAAAAAAAAAAAAAAAAAGATGATCAGGGGGCTAGATGCGGGGGGCAG